TAATATTAAAATACATATTTGAATTCTCTTCAAAAAAGTATTAAAAAATTTAGGTCTATAATTGATTAATTTAGAAGTTATGATTTTTGTCCGGAACGCCCATATACTCGAAACACTGCGTCACAACCGAGATTCAAAGGGAATTTCCTGATTATTACTCATGCGCTCAGGTTGCTCGAGCGTCCTGTGGCGACGTAGATTATTGCCGAAAAAAGCCGAACAGGCCTCGCACACGCAGAGCTACCGCTACACTTAGTGAGAGCACGATAGTGGGAGATGGCGGTAGGTCATAGTGGGGGTAACTGCTTTCGCCCACGGCATCTGCATTGTGGCATTACTGACTGTGGCGTTGTACGTCAACACGTGGTTAAATTTTGTTTTTGAAGTGTGTGCTTAAGTGTAACTTTTTCAGATTTCTTTGTTGTTAATAAAATGGTACGTATTGATACTTCCTTTTTTATAATTACAACTATTAATGTATTTAAGTAAAACCTTAATAGTAAGTAAGAAATAAAGATAAGTAACCTTCACACCAGTAAATAATGAGGTAAAATCGTATCTATGTTCAAATATGTTATACTTTCGATGTCTTTTAAAAATATAAATTATTCTATTTAAATAATTGTTTTATTTTAGTGATTAATACCATCATACATTTTTATAACACAATACTTGTCACAATTGCGATTTTTACATTGTTTTATATTATACTTACAACATAAATTATAAATTAAATGTAGCAATTAACACTTAACGGACGGGTCACGTAAATTTACCTTTTGCCATTCTGACTTCCTTGGACGGTCCACGTAGATTTACGTTTTTGCTTGAATTTTTATTACGCTTCTCTTAACACTTAACAGACGGGTTGTTTTTACCCTGTCTTTCTCGGTTTCCAGGCATTTTTTAAGAGAAGCGTAATAAAAATTCAAGCAAAAACGTAAATCTACGTGGGCCATCCTAGGAAGTCAGAATGGAAAAACGTAAATTTACATGACCCGTCCGTTAAGTGTTAAAAAATTCCCGGAAACCGAGAAAGACAGAGAAAAAACAACCCGTCTGTTAAGTGTTAAGATTATTCTCTAGCAAATGAAAAATCATTAAATTATTCATATTTTTAAATAAAAATGTTATTTAAAAGTGAACTAAATTATTTAAATGATAACTTGTTATTGATAGGTGATAGAAAGAAAAGGAACATTTAAGGTAGAATATCTTCAAAAAATTGAGAAAGATGTACAAGCAAAATGGGAAGCTCAAAAAGTATATGAGGAAGATGCACCTTTAAAACCTAAGAAAAGTCCAAATGAAAAATTTCTTGCTACATTTCCTTTTCCTTATATGAATGGAAGGCTCCATATTGGTCATATGTTTTCACTATCAAAATGTGAGGTAAATATTTAATAACAGTATTTAAAAAGAAGTATTTAATATAATTTGTATGTACGATCTAAATTAAAAGTATAATATATATTTATAATTTTATAGTTTGCAGTGCGGTATAATCGTCTTCTAGGAAAGAAAGTTCTCTTTCCATTTGGTTTCCATTGTACCGGTATGCCTATTAAAGCATGTGCAGATAAATTAAAGAGAGAAATGGAGTTATATGGTTATCCACCACAATTTCCTGAATATGAACAAATTGAAGTTGTAGATGATATAGTAATAAAGGATAAAGGCAAAGGAACAAAGGTAATTCATTACTGCCTAAAATATTTTTGTATGTTACATTTTAATTAAAAAATACTTTTAGAGTAAAGCAGTTGCAAAAACTGCTAATGCAAAATATCAATGGGAAATTATGCTAACACTTGGTTTAAAAGACGAGGATATAAAAAATTTTACAGATACTGCATATTGGTTAGATTATTTTCCACCTCTTGCTGTGGAAGATTTAAGATTAATTGGAGTACATGTAAGATAAGGATAGTAATAATTTGAAAATAAAAATAAAGCAATTTGGAAAGGAAACAGTATGGAACTCATTCTAGGTGGATTGGCGCAGAACATTTATTACAACAGACGCAAATCCATTTTTTGATTCATTTGTACGTTGGCAATTTCAGCATTTAAAAGCTAGAAACAAAATAAAATATGGAAAAAGGTATACAATATATTCACCAAAAGATGGGCAACCTTGCATGGATCATGATAGATCAACTGGAGAAGGTGTAGGGCCACAAGAATATACTTTAATTAAAATGAAGTTACAAGAACCTTATCCTTCTAGCATGAAGTAGGTATTCTAAATGATTTATAAAATTTGTTCCAAACATTAATATATTTTTGATTAATGTATTTTTGTAGAACTCTTTTTGGCAAAACAATTTATTTAGTAGCTGCTACTTTAAGACCAGAAACAATGTATGGTCAAACAAATTGCTGGATTCATCCAGACATAAATTATATTGCTTACACCCTATCAAATGGAGATGTTTATATTTCAACAGAAAGAGCAGCTCGGAATATGGCTTATCAGGGTTTCTTTGAAGAAGAGGGAAAGATACCAATTGTGTTAAAACTGGCTGGAAAAGTAATATTCTTTTTACTATTTATGAAAAAAGCTGCTTAAGACGATATTAAATACAAAATATGTATGATATAACGTTCATAGGATATATTAGGATTACCAGTAGAAGCTCCTCTTACAACTTATAAAGTAATCTATACTTTACCAATGTTAACTATTAAAGAAGGTAAAGGTACTGGAGTTGTTACATCTGTACCTAGTGATTCTCCTGATGATTATGCTGCTTTAGTAGATTTAAAGAAAAAACAAGCTCTGAGGGAAAAATATGGAATAACTGATAATATGGTGCTACCTTATGATCCTGTAAGTATAACATGCCTTTTTATTTCAATAGAAGTATAAAATTAAAAGTAAAAATGTAATTAGCAAAATTGTATATGTTAGATACCTACTCTTGAAATACCAGGATTCGGCACTTTATCTGCAGTAGCTTTGTACAATAAATTAAATATTCAATCTCAAAATGATACTGTTAAATTATTAGAAGCCAAAGAAATTGTGTATCTTAAAGGCTTCTATGATGGTGTAATGGTAGTTGGTGAATATAAAGGAAAGAAAGTTCAAGATATTAAAAAGCAGATACAGAAAGAACTTATAAACGACAAAAAAGCAGTTATATATTACGAACCAGAAAAAACTATAATTTCAAGATCAAATGATGAATGTGTAGTAGCTTTATGTAATCAATGGTATTTGGACTATGGAGAAGAAACTTGGAAGGAAGAAGCAATGAAAGCCTTAAATAATCTCAATACTTATCATGACGAAGTGAGAAAAAATTTTTTGGTTTGTCTTGATTGGTTACATGAACATGCATGTTCAAGAACTTATGGACTTGGTCAGTTTGTATAATCATTAACACGTTAAGCGCCAAGCCTGTTTTGTCTTCTTTTCTGTTTAGTCCGCGATATCCGATTTCACCGATATGCTGGCGGCCGGAGATCTGTGTAAGGTTGCGATAAGACTGCATGTGTTTTAATGATACTCATTAAAATTTTTTTTTGGTTACAAGTAATATTTAGGTACATTCTTTTATAATCACCAAATTATTTAAAATTTATTAATAGAAGAATATAATTTTTTAAATTGTATATCGTCAGTCAACAGTGACTGACGCGGCCCGAACGAAAAGTATACTGTCAGTCACCGGTGATTGACGCGGTCCGAACGGAAAGCAGTCCGAACATGGTGCTTAATGTGTTAAGTAACAAATCAAATATTGACAATAGTACAAATATTAATAATTATGAACTTTAGGTACTAAATTACCATGGGACGAAAGTTGGTTAATAGAATCACTCTCAGACTCAACAATTTACATGGCTTATTACACAGTAGCGCATTTATTACAAGGAGGAACATTCAAAGGCGATAAATCAAATACATACAACATAAGGTAAAGTTTCGAAGTCTTCATTAGAATTATCAGTTACCCCACATAAAGTAACGAACAACAAATTATAATACTTTCCGAGCATTTATGAATATTTCTCGGGTTCTTTGTTATTGTTTAAATGATTTCAAAAATGTAACTTACACTTTGTGGAATATTTTGTTTATGTGTACATACAGTGTGTGTGATTTATCTGAAAATACGTAAGTATCTCGAAAAATATGCATGAGAACGAAAATATTTGAGACAAAAATTGTAGGGTACCAAGGGGCACATATGATGCCTATATTTATTTGATCTTGCGGTGACCTCGAAAAGCTCTGAAGGTTACGGTTAAACTTTAAAGTGGAAACCTATATTTTTTATTGCATATTCTTCTAGCTGACGTTAAAACGTTTTCAAAACATTGCCCGTACGTGCATTTTGCACTAGCCAATGTCGAGATATTAAACTTCAAATCTGATGTGCCACCTGTATTAGCGTTGACACGGTCCACGCCACAGTTAATTTCAAAAACTCGTGTAGAATTTCAGTGGCTACGTAAACACCAATTGACCATGCAATGACACGAGACAGTTTGTCTTAATGCTTCCATAACATTAGATTGGACTTAGCGGTCCAGTAACGTGGCCCCCAAGATCGTCAGATTTTTCCGCGTACGATTTTTTTCTCTGGGGATATTTGAAACAAAAATTG